CCCCAAAACCCCAAAACCCCAAAACCCCAAAACCCCAAAACCCCAAAACCCCGTGCTGTTAGGTGATCATTGAAATAAAGATCAATAAAACCTAGCAGGCTAATTTAATGTACGATGGTTTGGTTATGTGTGACTTTGGCTCCAGAACGCAAAATTGATTTCTAGAATTTTTAACTTTTAATCTAAGAAGTTTGAGATTCAAATTTTGATTAATATTTTTAACATGGCCAGGTATATTAATAATCATTTGTAGTAAATCTACCTTATTTTAAGTATACAGACATCAAGCCAAACTCAGAGTTGTTCCACCCCTAATCTCTAAACTTCCTTCTCAAATTTTAAAGAATGAATTTACACGACCTGAAGTTTGGAATATTGACTGCATTTCCCATCAAAGATGATTCTATCAGGCCTCCGTTAGTATCAATTGATCTGTTTTCTACGCTAGAGTTTCTAAAAGAAGATCTTTCTTGCTTTATCTCCTCTCTGATCTTTGCTCTTCTTGGAATGTTTTCTTCCATAATACTAAAAGTGACTTCAGTTCCAGCCTTGTATTCTGATTTTAATTCAATATCACCTCCCATTTGGGTGACCAATTTCTGACAAATTGTGAGGCCAAGGCCTGACCCTTTAGTGTTGAACTGGACGCGGTGTTTCCTTACCATACCGAACATCTTGAATAAGTTTTGCTGGTCTTTTTCCTTAATGCCCACTCCTGTGTCAATCACCTTAATGATCAGCTTTCTTGTTGGCTCAAAGAAGTTTCCTCCAGCTTTCGAAATATCTATCGTAATAGAGCCTGAGAATGTGAACTTATAGGCGTTAGAGATCAGGTTCATCAAAATCTGCTTAATCCTGCTCATATCTGAGTAGAAGTAGGTCTGGTCGAGACCTTGCTCAAAGTTGAAAATTAAGTCAATGTTCTTCTTTTCTCATTGGTATTGGAATATGTACTTTATATCGCTCAGTAAGTCTCCGATTTTGAAGTGCCCAGTGTTCAGGGAAAATATTCCTGCTTCAATTTTGGCAAAATCAAGAATGTCTTCGACCAAAGAGGAGAGTATTCTTGATGAGATTGAAGCAATTCTTAGATTATTATCAAAATGATCGTTAACATCCTTATTTCTTGGATCAGCTAACTCCTTCTTTTCGATAGCCATACACATTTCAATAGCGTTTTTGAAAGAATTTAGTGGAGTTCTAAATTCATGAGAGATGCTGCTGAACATAATATGTAGACACTTGTTTATAGCTTTCTCCTTCTCGAGTTTATTTAATATCAGTATTATCTATGAACACATGCATGTAGGCATCAGATCAGTCTATCCACTCAACTTTAACAGTTTTGATTGAGAAGTACCTTATGTCATCTTGAGTAATTGGCTTTCCAGCCCACATCTTGGGGTAAACTTGTTCTGTGATCAGATCTTCCTGTTCCTTGTCATTAACTTCATTCTCCCTCATATCCAATATTTCAGAGTAATCCTTAAAGTTTCTATCAATAGTGTCCTCGTCACATTGATCGTTTGGCTTTGGAAGAATGTATTTAGGAGGATTTGACTCTTTACCGATAATATGATTTTTAGCAGCAAAATTTGTGAACAGATCTGAGTTTCCTCCAGTATTGTTAGGGTCTCCACGGATAATAACTGCCTTTGGGAAAACTTCAAGGATATGCTTTGTAGTCTCGATTAACACAGTGTTTTGATGCAATGTTACAATAAAATTTAGTACAAGTTTACACAGGATCAAGCAGATGATAGGATAAGCGATGAATTTGATTGCAACAACCATATAATAGTACTTTGGAATTTTCTTGCCTAAGAAATAGAAGGAAAGAATAACTATAGTTTTCTGTATCATGAAACTAGCAACCACCTTCTTCCAGCTAAAGCAGTATATAATCGATATCATGAACCACATGATCATGTTGAGGTACCAGAACTCATAAGTCGTTGGAGTGTCAAGAGGGATAGTTTCGTAAACTAGTAGAAGGTTCACAAGCGTCCATAAAACCAAGATTATGTAGTTCTTTACAACTTGATTGTGATAAGCATACAGGTGGATACTAATAATGCTTGTCACTAACAAAATTCTTAAGGTCAAAACGTAAATCAGTTCTATTACTGAAGCTCCTGGAGATAAGACCATTAATACTGAGGTAATTAAGACATAGGTAATAACTGAATTGAGGAAGACCTTCCATCCATGAACCAAGAAGCCATCTTGGTACTTTTCAATAAGTTTAGTGTATCGTGGGTCTTGAAGCTGTTGCTCTACTTGTATCAGTACTGACTTTATTTCAAGAATGTGATGAATGCTTAGAGACTTTTGTATCAACCCTAGCAGGGATAAATGATAATTCTTTTCTGTGCTTCTCTTAAAGAAGCTAGTAGACCTCGGTCTAATTTGGCCCTCATTGGGTGGATTACCCTTGTCTTTCAGGTCAACCTTCTCCATTGTTTAATTTTATAATTTAGGGATTTCTCAATATTCCTCGTTAATGTTGGGGTTTTGGGGTTTTGGGGTTTTGGGGTTTTGGGGTTTTGGGG